CCCCCCAAAGTAAAAAAGTGCCGCTTTAGGACAATGCTTATTTCTGACTGTATGAATTGACTGAAGGTAATGCTTCCATATCCGCTGTAATCAGTTGCTTACGATCAGAATTACCCTATTCGTCGACATGGAAAAGTCATGCACCTGGGAATCGAAACCTAGAATACGGCTAGTATGAAGAAACACATTTGGAGGGAATGTCGAATCATGCGACAGCTTTCCGACGGTAACCCTTCATCGATTCGCTTATGTAATTTTCTAAAAACTAAGATTTCGTTTTATCTGAACATCATAACTTATATCCAACATCGTAGACGAACCTGTACGCACTAATTTTTTCTCCGAATACTGATTTTTGTCAAATATACTGATTTGAACACCTGACTTCGTGCTATTTTTTGGTGCACACAAAATATTTTAATGAAATTATGCCTTTCATTCACACCTTACTCGTCCCGTTGCACTTCTTTCGTATGACATTATTGTAAAATTTGAGTTTAGAGAAATTCAATAAATAAAATAAAATAATATTCATTATTATATAACAGCAATATTTACGTGTTTATTCATTCATTACCTCCACTAACAGTTACAGTTTAAGAATCAATAACAACAAAGTAAAGCACACTGATTTGCAGGACAATTAAAAGAGACATTATGGTAACTGCCTTCTCTCAATAAAACAACACAGTCACTGAAACGTAATCAATATATTAATTTACCAAATTATTAGAGTACAATTTGGAATGGAGATCACGTAAACTAATAATATATTATAAGCAAAATTCATATTCTCTACAATACTGATTAATTTGATCACAATATGCTGGAAGAAGGTCAGCGACAATAACAATAATACTTCATAATAACACTGATAATAGCAATAATAACAAAAAAGAATATACTCAAATATTGACAACATTAATTATAACAATAACAATTCGTGATGAATACCAAAGAAATTAAGAGTAAACAAATTTTAAAAAAAACGAAATTGAATAAATCCGAAGAAGTACGAAGATAATGACTGGATAACAAAATCAGTATAACGAGCGGAACAACAAATAAAATTTGACGAAACAATGTGAGACGAATGACATATGTATACTCGATATTTTGGGGTAATCTTTAAATAGCACACTTATAAAAGCATCTAATGTATAAACACTGATAAACGTTTACAAAGATCGTAACTGAATAAGAAATGTATATGAACTTTCTTCTGAAATTTCATCTAACAGAGATCGACCCCAGGAATGAAATGGGGTAATATCAGTTTTAAGAAACGTCAAAAACCATAGCATCATTCTTCAGCCTAGGTGGCTGCATTTGCGTTTTGTAAGTGAGCTTCTTTTGATAGTTCAATTAATTGCCTGGAATACATAACGTAAAATTAAACAGTGAACATAAATGATCACACTCATATAACAATGATGATCAGATTAATAAGAACTTTAAGATTTATGATAAAGATAATAATAATTATTATTATTAACAATAATATTAATAATAATATTAATAATACTAATATTAATAATAATAAATAATAACGAGAATAATAGAATACAAACCGTCTAAGTACTAAAACTTTAGACTGTAATTCCTTCTCGCGATTCTTCCACCTCATTATTGTTTGCTTAACACCATCGGTTTGTTTCCAGTCACGCACCCAACGAAGAAATAAACGTTCCCAAAACATCTGAATTTTTGTGCTGATAACAGCAACTACAAATGATGATCTTAATTCTAATAATAAAAGATCACATAACAAACGATGATAAAAACATGCTACGATAATAAATTACTGAGAAACTAACAATACTTTGAGGTGCAACAGAAGGCCATAAAACTGAATCATTTGGCTCATAGAGAGCGTTCACAAACGTCCGTAAAATCTCGGGATTATTTACATAAGACCATAACGAAACCGTTCGTTTTTTAACTTCCATTTGATATTTATCTTTTTCATTGTTACCTTCAACAACACTCAACATTCCTAGTGATTCCGACTTCAACATTTAGTAGTAATAACTTAATAACATTAATAATAATCGTGATAATAGTAAAAATAATAATAATAGTAATAAGAGTAATAATAATAATGACAATAATGATAATAATAATTACAATAATAATAAAACACACTGTCTACTTACTCACGACCTCAAATAAATCTTGAAACTCTTCGAAACTAACCAAGGAATGAACCGAATTCTGAGGCGTAAGCATGCTCAAAAAGGAATATCAAAAATTCTTCTGTGAACTCGAATGAGCATGGAAACTGCTGATAAATCTGAAATATATCACCTAGCCATTACTTGATGAACTGACATCACGATAACAATAACGAAAGTTAAATAAAATTTTCAACCAAATAATCACAACCAACCTGCCAGACACAATCCAAAAAACACAAAAATATTGGTGCATCACTAGTTGGCGATGTCGCTAAACCGTTATCATACGCAGAATGTGCGCACCGTGTTGAAAATGGATGTCCAGCTGTGATCCATTCACGTTCGATTAACGATTCAAAACTGCAGAGGATGTACATAATCATAACAGTAACAATACTAACCCAGTAATACCAATAAGTTATAGGTAATTAATAACTCATAGCAAATTTCCAAACGATGGCTGCAATTTCCCTGAACAAATAACTAAACAAATTATCGCTCTGTCAAACATTTACCCACGAATTGTGCGTGCATCTGAGTCAAGTAGAAGTTGCGAAAGTGATGTCACCAATAAAGTTGCATCTGTGCCTTCAGCACCATGAACCACTATCGGCACCTCTGTAATAGTACATACGAAAACATCAACACCATGACATTTTGTAATAAATTTGCGTCTGTGCCTTTCTATTCAGCTCTTTGATGAAACAAAAACGATTACCATGATAACTATCAATGTTATTATTACTACTACATCTATCCACCATAATAACAATTATTGTCGCAAATAGTCTTAATCAAGACTATCTCACGAACTTTTCTTTGTCTTAATGTCCCTATCATATCAATCTTATTCGTCATTATCTTGAAAATTTAAATTTTTTATAATGTTGATATCATATCGTAATTTGAATCTTATATTAACCGTTATCATTGCTAGCAAAAACATTATTGTCGATTTTGTGTGCAAATCATACTCTCGATGTTGCTGTCCCGTCAAAAGAACGCTAATAGCGAAAACGTGTTCAAAAATTTCAAGATAATTATAATTCATACGTGAGCATGCACTAATAATCACCATGTACACAAATTATTCAGTCAATATCCACTCACTAAATGCAAGCAGCCAGAAGGTAAAATAAGCGATAACATTATGCTTGAAACTTGAGATTCGATAAGAAAAAGCAAAAAATAAAAGTTCAACGTTCAACAAAGTTGAGTCAATTAAGCGACCAGTAGCATTTTAAAATATTCACAAATACCAATAGTTTAACTTACGTAAATCTCCTCTAGAATATTATTAGTATTACCAATATTATGATACTTTCAGATCTCAAAAAATCAAACTTTCAACTAAAGTAAAAGTAACGGTGAAATAAGTATCCATAACATCAGTCACGCATGCACAATACTGCATACTTTACACAAGACCAAATTCAGATACTTATCTTAACAAATACAGTCGATAATATAACAAACAACCGCGCTCGGTCGCTATTTAGTTTAAGGTACATTCGAAAATCGAAATGATTTCACCAAAGATCAAAATAGTTCTATCTTCATGTAACATTCGAATTAAGTGAAAACTATTTGAGCAAAATCTTCATGCAGTCGTAAAGTACAACGATCGATCAAGATCTAATCAAGCTAAACTATACAATGACCGCAGTCAACGTAGCAAACACAACGACAATACAACACAATACAATACACACAACCTACCTGCAGCACTACCTTCACAATGCACGCATTGAGCAACTGTTGCTGATGCAGTTAGAGTTGAAGCTATTGCTTGCATCCACCCGCTTGCGCACAGTTTCGATAACCAACGATCACACGACGGATTCACTTCGCTACACACTGATAAAGCAGTGATCACGACAACATAATTGACAACAAGAAGAATGAATGAATGATAATGAAACATAAAATAGATTATAAACCGCGAACAGATTAAATAACAATTTTTATTGAGGATTTTGAAGTGTTGAGGAACCGTAAAATGAAAAAAATACATGGTAAGACGAACAAAGTAAAATTTGATAGCGACAGTGATGATATTATTAAAACTTACGCTCAACTAATTTCTTCAAGGCATCACGAAATTCTCGGCAACGCGGTACCACACTATGAACGTATTTCCATTGTGAATAATTTATGAGTGGTTCACATCCACCACCTGAAATTGCGTTTTCACATTCAAATTAACTGAAAATACAATTTCACCATTCATCAAAAGATCCATCCAAATGCGCATTTCAAAATGCACTTAAAAAGAAAAAACGTCAAATTATCTGCAAATCAGCGTTCATGTACATATTAATCGATGAATGTATCTTCAAGTGGACCAACTCAATGCGTCAAATAACCGACCTTTACTTTTAGCGTTCTGTGCTAATTGCTTACTTCGCGTATCGATAATAACCCCTTTACTTGTCGACGAAAGAAGTGCCTTCAAAATCGTTTCATCTTCTTTACAACGGCGGTTCGCTGGACCGATCAACGGCTGACCGCAACGCACTATTGAAGCCTATCAATTTACTGATTATCACCCAAAGATATTCAGCAACGGATTTCGCAGAAAAATCATAAATCTTTTCATAGAATAAGAATCTTGAAATAATTAATTTTATTTACAGCAAAGGCAACCATATCAATTATGTGGGTTAACAGACGACAGTGCTTCTCGTTTAAGAGACTAAAAAATTTAACGATATGGCAAAGAAAAGAAATAATATTGAGATTATATGATATAAACTTTTGTTTCTTGATGATAATAACTCAATACTGGGAATCGACCGCCTTCACGGAACGTAGCTGATATTCGTAAGTAATCATCACCAATACCTTTTGGGACAATCACCATTTCCGGATATGAACCACAAACCTTTAATATAAATCACCAAAATCATCACCTAATCTCTATGACTGCAATTACATTCCAATGCATCGATACGCTCATAACATTTGAGATAAGATTCCTACAAAACAAATTCATCATACACTATTCACAATACGCATTGAACGAAAGCTGCATAGTGGACGAATTTCTAAAGTGGTTAAAAGAAATTTCTTATACGACAGAGAAAACTGAACGAGTTGATCTCGAATACCTGACTCAATGAAGTGGAATAAGAATGAAACGTCACCGACCCGAAATCCTTTATTCACTGAACTAATCCGCCACCCTTCTTTGCAACAAACGACCAGCCTTGCAAATTCTTGTTCAGTATCAAATGCGGTCCATCCATTATCCAGAACCGTGAACGGACAACGATAATAAAAAGGGTACTCTTGTTGGATGCAACCTATTCGTTTTGAATAAATTAATGAATATATGAAATATGTTATCAACACAAAATCATCATACGCAAGTTCATCAATAAAAACTCACTCAATCGAGAAAGTTTTTCGATTGAACGTCCCACAGCCATACAATCTTCGAAATCGTTCACTTCAAAAACACAAACCATAAAATTTTTACATTTCAATATCAGATAGCCTCCTCTAGTAATATTATCACGACTCACAGGCTCTACTATGACACGGTCGACAGCACGATGAAGTAGCTGAAAATTTGTATTCATTATTATTACTGTCACCACTGTTACGATTTCATTATTGTCATTTGATTCCATCACTTGATTATTTCGTTATTCTATTATTAATTGTCTGATGGTGCACTATTACTTTACCGTGCTATTTCATCATATTCACTTGACGATTCAAACAATTTTAAGAGAGCAAATTCACGAACCCACAGCTCATTATCCGAGCGAGTCATACCCTTCGGAGAAGTGGGTGATGAGTCGGTAGGTGAAAAGATCATATGATGACCGATGAGAGCCAATGATCCGGGCTGTGGCTGTCGAGGACCCTTTCTGAGAAACACATTATCTACACGAGGGCGCTCAATTGCATCTGATAACTCCATTCGTTCTGGCTAATACTGAACCTTGCAAATTTATTAGCCGAATTCAGTCAAGCATAGACGTAGACAGCTGAACTTTTCGAGATTCCAAGACTCCGCATCAAATTAACGGCTAAACAAATCATATAAATTCACGCTTGCACAATATAATTTTAAATTATTTTTATAACAAGTAAAATTGAACGCGAAACACGTGTATATATGATCAGATGTTCAAAACGTTTTATCTCATTCCGAATATAAATGCTTGAACAATGATGATCAGCGAAAAAAACAGTATTTACAGGTAGATTTAATCTTTAAGCAATTCTATTTAAAAATACCGAACTGTCATCTGTTGTGAGGGTGCGGATAATCTCTGTACTTCACGAAACGAAGTGATTAAATCTCATGAGAAATGTGCAAAAATCATCCGTATCTATTCATCCCATTGCTAACTGAAACGAATCGATAAGTACAAACGTAAACCACAGGTCAAATCCGCGCCTGAGGCCGAATCCAACTCAACCGTATGAATCTAAATCGCATCTGTGTAAATCACCACTCCCACCTTGCATTCAAAAGTTATCATATAAGATTCACAATTATGCGAACCCACTAAATCAAGTGTTCGCAGTTTTTGGATTCGTTTTAAGACTGAAAAATTCAGATTCAGGTAGGGATGAAAATTTGTTCGGTACATTAGCAACTTTATTTATGGGCAGACGGCCCAGACCTGAAACTTCCAAGCCTACAAAGAGTGGGATATGATTAGGAAAAGCAGTAGGTATTGTGAAATAGGCATGCATTCACTTGCATGGCAAAGGAATGAAATGAAGCCGAGAAATGATGTTGTTGGGTTGAAGATAGATAGGTGAATTAAGCCGAGAATGATGATAGAGAATACAGCGATGCGTGAAAGTCGTTGCGATTTATTAACCGGATTCGAAGTTGCCGATTGAGAAGAATGCGTCGGTGAATCGACGAACCATTAATAGAGGAAACAGTAGCACAAGTTTGTTAGCGCCTGATATCAGTTAAAGTAGTGAAAGATAGCTATGAAGAAGAACTTGATGAATGGACAGATGAATAAGAGAGAAGAAAACCTTCGGAGGGTGTTTTGGTAGGCCGAAGTTGGCATGCGAATTTGTGTTAGTTGTTAAGATAGATTATGCATTCCGAGAACGCAATTTTTCAAACACGGGTCGTGAGAAATGCAGAATGCAGAATTGATCAATTCATTCATTTTTTTTNTTTTTTTTGCATCTTTTTAGACAGATTCAATCCTTAATCCTCAGATTTTTTTTCTGCAATATAGTAAATGAAGCTAGGAAGCGTTTATTGTGACCATGAGGATAGAAGTTTTTGACTTACTGAAATGCTGTCGTGCTCAAAGAGTGGCACACAATCTTGTTCTATGTATGAAAGTACCAATAGCCCGCACAGAATTTTTTTCGAGGGAAAGTGAAGATTGTTTTTTAAATGGTGAACGTCGACTAAAGGCAACAGAAAAACGAAATACGCAAGAATAATATTTTTCATTATTGCTTATTGGACTTTCGGAAAGATTTGGTTCTTGCTGAGTCTTATCTGTGAACGTCATTGGTGAGAATCTGGAACTGATCATTTCGTTTTGGATAAACTTCCACTAATTAATGCATAGGACTCATCACTCTCAGAAAAATTCAACCGATACTTGGTCGAGATTCATGATCCATGGTTCCAACTCCAAATCCATTGGTTCATTGACAGAGTGAACTGCGATAGGTATTTTTGGTATATTTTGTATCTCATGTTCATTTGGATAAGTTCAGACTGTTGAAAGTAGTGTGTTGCAGGGAAGCAAGAAATGTGGAGACAGGGAAGGGGAGGAGGGACGAAATTTCGCAGTCGGGAATCCCAAAAATTCGATCGCCTCGAAAAAAATAGGAATAACAGGGAAATAACTCAACCTCATCCGCTTCCCCATCTCCAATTTTTGAGTTTTCTCCGAGAATGGAACTTTTCAGTTGGAGCCCTCAGGGCCTTGAAAATAGGAATTTATGGCGGAAAAACATTGAAATAAGCAATCTTTAGGATAAAACGGAGATGTTGGTGAAGTTACAATGCAGTTTTAACAATAATATTTTATTCATCCAAGTGAAGAAGTAAATAGTGCATAATATTTGACAACTAAACTAAAAACCTTTCAGAAATAACGCATATTAATAAATGTGCGAGAATTTCAACGACTGAAAATGAGAAGTACAGACTTCATCAAAAATCATTATACCTGAAAAGTCCTGCGTTACGAAATAGCACCAACTGAATGAAAATGAACCGGTAAAAACGACAAGTATTTCGTAAATTATTTGAAGGCCTAATTCACTACAACGAACACGATAGAATGACAGCAATGAAAGAAAAAACGTAAAACACAGCCTCCAAAAAAGAAACAGAATATAATATTTGAAAAGTGTTTCACGACGATATAACGTGAACTGAGTGAAATTCACGTTCTTGATGCTTTGATTCGATTTTATCAATTTCCGGGGAAAATTCGGTGAATTCCCCGAAAATTTTCGGGAAACGGGGAACCCGAAAATTCCGTAAGAATCGGGGATCAAATTTTGCAGTTGCGGACCACGAAAATGGAGTCGGCTCGAAAAAAGTCGTGGACAGGAGAACGGAGACAGGTATCTTGAAATTCCCTGTTGCTCGCAACACACTAGCTGAAAGTCTGTCAGTGACTGCACGCGGCTTAGAACTTGATCATCATTTACGTTTTCTTCCAAAGGAATCTCTGGACAGACTCGTGGCCACTTTGGATGGTCAAATCTGGTTAAGGTTATTTAAGGGCATGATAAGTTTTTCTTCTTTGTGGGTCAATTGTCTGCGACAGCGTACGCAAACGAGAAGGAGGGAAGGGCTTGAATACAATTCCTGAAATTCGAAACGTTGTCACCGGTGAGTTTTTTAGCTTTGATGTTTATTTCGACCGCATGTGATTGACCGAAGACGCTAATAGTTCCTGAAATGAAATTCTTTGGCTAATTTCATCGCTTCTTCTTACTTAGTAATCTATTAAATTACGACTTGTCGAAGGAGTTTCTAGATGTTTTCAGAATCGTTAAAATTTTCAACTGTTCATTGATTTCAAGTATCAGACAACAAAATAGTGAAATCATGTAGCAGCACCATACGTTGCCACTGCACCGTCAAATAACGACATTTCTCGGTAAGTTCTCGTCGGTCGGTCACAAAACCACGTAATTTTCGTAAAATTGTTAGTGCATGGCGCACGAGCGTATCTGTATGTTTTTGGATTGTTTTGAGTCGCTTTTGAAATACCGCTTTTGTTCTGGACTGTAACAGTATAACGGTGGATTACTATCAATGGATTGCAAATTTCGACTACAAATAAATAGTACTCAATATGCAACTGTTTTAAAGTGAAATATATATTATTGCTTTGTTTATTAATTTGTTAATATTTTATTTCATATCATTACTATATATATATATATTTATATGAAGTTTTTCATGGCTGGGAGTGGGTGGGATAAGGAAGGGGGTGGGTGAGGGGATAGGAGTGCAGCAAATTAAACTGTAAAGCTTGTTCGTTCGTCGCTCATAAAACGCTGCTAATGTTGTGCTTTTACGATTGTTTCTTCATTTTTCTAACCTCTTCGTACAATTTTGCTCAACTTATATAAAGAATGAGTAAATGAAAGCACCACAACTGATGAGGGACAGAGTTTCGTTTCTATGCGTCGATTGCGCGCCACATGAACGAGTAGATCACGATGAGGTCACCATATCCTATGCGCTCATTCATATCTCCCCAGCCAATCGATCAACATATTCATCTGTTCATAGAGTTTTGAACGAGATTCTCGTTAACAGACCATCGATTGCTTGGCTGACTATTCAGTTCGTGGAGATTTCACATATCCATTCTGTCTGTCTTTGCTCAGTCTGTTGCTGTCATTGTTTGCTTTATTATTACATTCCACCAGAGAGCAAATATACGCACATATATCGCTGACCCCTCCATTCCTATCCCTTTCTATCTTAATGCATCCATTGGCGGTCAGTTCGGTCCAGACATGCAGTTTTCAGGTCAAGCAATTTTCGATGGCGTTGCTTTTGCAATTTAGTTATTCATCTAAACATGAAGCGGTGCATCTAAAATTTTCTTTATCTACACAAATCGTTATTTAATATTGATTTAATGCTGTTAGAAAAAAATTTACGCGTTGTATGCTGATTGTTGTTGATGATTTAGATAGCACGTATGCACACTCTACTCTCCTCATACCGTTATTTTTATCACTGATATTATCAAGTTACTTTGTTTGAACAAACCAAAATCCGCTCGGAATAAGTTTCACTCATAAAAGTTCTTATATTCCTTCAATTTTTGTTGGAAATACTAGAATCATTTATTTCATCGTCTGATTCGTACCTTTCATTCTCTGTTCTCGGTAAAGGTCAGCATGCATTTTAGGCACACACCAAACGCCATGAACCCCGTCGTTAATCGCTTTTTCTATCTATACATTTGTCCACATATATAGCTATTTAATTACCTCCTTATCTACCAATCATTGTTTTATTCATTGTATATCTTCACATAAATCATCATATTTTTCTCATTTCACCTCACTGATCCTTTAATGTTCCCTCAATCTATCATCTGATAAATAATATCAGAATCTATCTCCGATATCTCTTCAGTCTATTCATTGTGTATTTTCCAATGACCCGCGTTGTATTGTATTTGTTGTCCACTCATTACCACCATCACACTGGAATTGGATCGACTATATTCTCGACCAACCTTCCCCGTACCTCGGAACACTCCATCCATACCATGAATGGTATGTTCCTGCCATCCAAGAAAAGCAGAACATTTCTGTTCAAAGCAAGTAAAGAATTTTCAAAAAATTTTAATTTAAAAGCAACAAATACTATTTGAATTATTGTTTTAAGTTAGTGCGTATATAATACAGTAGAGGTGCAGTAAGATCATCGTCATCCTC